AGACCTGTATTCAGCGGCTGTTTGCCAAGATGACTCGTCTTCAGCAGACAGAACAGGAGTCTCGCAGCCACCACTTATCAGTCGTGGGGGACACCACAAAGTGCATAAATATGTATTGAAAAGAAATAGTTGCGCTCGTGCCAGCAGGGTCGCTGGGTCCGCAGTAAGGTCCGTGACATTTAGCAGCATGCCTGTCTTATATGTAGTCAGACGACAGTCGCCCCTCTCGGCTGAAAACTGGACCACATCTCATAACTCACATCGTCGGATGACTTATTAATAGTTCTTGAACAGGCGTGCAGGCTTCAGATAGGTGTCGACGCCACCGGTGACGCACCTATGCAGACAGACAGACAGACGGACAGACAGACAGACAGACGCTAATGTCCATTGTATGGAGCGCACGTGCGTGCTCGCACATTTGTGCGTGCTGACACCCTCGCGTGATGGATTTTGTAACGGCACACGCGTGATAAATCGGTGCACAGCATTGCACTCAATGCACGCCATATGGGACAAGGGGTTATTCTGAAGTCTGACCTAATTAACGATTTGATTCATCTCACAGCTAACGATGTAACAATGTGAAGATGTAGTGCTGATCAAGTAGCTCCGCGTGAGGGTGCGAGAACTTCGAGCTAATATTTTGAGATGTTATCCTGTTAATTGCTTCAGTTAATCTTCATTTGACTCTCATAACTACCGCTTTTTTTAGAGAAAAGCAGATTCAACACAACTTACAATAAGCTGCCATCATAATTTGAGAGCGGTTTTATTCCATGTGAACTGCACGTATATTTCTAGTTATGCGACCACTATTTTTCGCAATTTACAGCAGAAATGCTAAAAAACAATTGGTGAAAAATGCTAATTATTCCAAAAACAGCTGTCAACGTTAACGTGATTAACATTCCATGCCCGGTGTTCATGTTTTGTATGGTGAGGATTAAATTTCTCGACAACGTACAATGAAAAAGCTTGAGGGTCCTAAAAATGTATACCGCATATAATACACGTATAGTCCCATTGCTTCCTATGGCTCCTGTCCTGCAACCATGCATCGTACCCCTCGACCTCACACATCGTTCCTCTCAAGGATATGAGCGTCTTCCAACCGCGCCGCTCCCGCCCAAACTCATTCTCTGCGGTCAGAGAAGGAAATGCCACGCCAGTCTGCCGCCGCCGTCCCAACGACCCGTCGTGAGTCGGACCTGGGAGTCACTCCCCTCTCTCTCTCTCTCCCCTCTTCCCGTCGTCTCTGGATCCGGTACATCGCCGACGGTTTGCGGTGGGGGGGGGGGGGGTCTGCAGTCTGCAGCGGCCGGCCAGACAGCCGGGGCGGGGGGGAGGGGGGGGGGGGGGTGAGAAATTCACATCGGGCCGCCACGCTCCGGAAGCGGTGCCCTTATCGGCGCCACGGTGGCCGGTGGGGACTCCTCACTTCAAATGAAGGCGTTTGCACGGTGTTTCCCTGTCACGCTCTGGGGCGAGTGTCTGTGCCGATAACACTGCACCGTCGAGGAGGCGGGCGAGGGGGGGGGGCAGTTGCATAATGCAGACAGACTGCAGCGGCAAATGTGCGAGGAATGCGGCTGTCACGCGACACACGACAGCCCCGCGGTAGAAATGGAATGATCCACCCCGGCGCCGTACCCCACAACCCCACATTTATCGGGCCCCGGCTGTCAGGTTATCTTATATAACGGACAAGAGGGTATTATTAGAACCTTTATTATAAATAGCATTGATGTCACGCTACAGCCGTGAGTATCAAGCTATTGTTTTCACTCAAATGTGACCAGAAAAGCAGATTTAATGCAAGATTCTCAGTTCTAACGAAAAGTGATGGCGTAACTCAACTGGATCAAAATATTTGGTAGGGTGAAGATCACCTAAGCTTATTTATTATTAACTTTCAGCGCCTATCTACAGCACAATTTCCACCTTAAGATATAAAATTTGTCACGATTCTGTTGCAATGTTGGGCGCAGGGTCACGAAAAGGGGTGATACGAACTCTGACGGAGTGATACAAGGCAGCTGTCGGCTGAAAACAGAAGTCATCATTATGCATGCTTGGTTAAACTTCAAAAATGAGCTGGGGGACCATCAAGGTCGCCAGGATGTTTGCAACATTCCGTTTTCCGCACAGTGACTTGACCAAGATGACGGGATATCAAACTTGGTGGTTAGAGCAGGGTCAAAAGGAAAGGAACTGCGGAAGCTGCTGGTCATTAGCGCAGGGAACACTATGAACGTACTAGTTTGGTATCTGAATTGACATCTCTCCGTTGTTATGAAGTTATGTAACGTTCGAGAAGAAGGAGAGACAGTCAACATTTCCGTATCGTGGAGGGAGGGTTTAGTAATTAGTCACGATGTAAGAGTTGCATATCATAGATAACGGTAATTAGTACTGTCTGGGTGGTCTTAGCAAGATCATTACCAAAACGGGTCTTATATAACCAAAACTTGAATGGCGTCTCTTATGTTTGGGGATGCAAAGTTTTAAGTGAACATTTAAATTAGAGTCGACATGTGTATTACATCTGACACTAATAAAATGAGCATGGATACGATTGTCAATGTGTATTTTCCTAGTTTCATTCATGCGTTTAATCCACTAATATTTTCCATTTTCACCGCATCATGAACGACACAACGGAAGATGAACTACAAGTATTTAGTACACCTACTTATCCGCTGTTGCCCATGACTTTCACACTGCGGCACACCGCAGTCCGTATCAGACCCATGTACGGAGTACGGTAAATAAAAGTACGGAGTCCACGACCGCCGGGCGGCGTTGGAGGGTGTGGCCCATACTGACCCAGTGACCCGTCGAAACCGACAGCGCTGGCGCCGGTGAGACGGCCGCCCCCGCCCCCGCCGCCGCCCATGGCGCCCCGGGCGGCCTGGCAACCGGACGCCAGACAGCCAGACAGTCGCCCGCCGGGCGGCGCGTCCCCCCCCCCCCCCCCCACTGCAGAGTGCAACCCACACCGACGCGTCTGCGTGAGTGGGGACGAGGGGGCGGGGCGGCGGACCTTGGCTGTTACCGGGTGCCGCGCCTGGGATCGCGGCGGCGCCGGCAGCCAGACATGGACTTTGAACCGATAGAGCCGCTGGGAAGTATGCCATTCATCGGGTCTGCATGGCAGGGGGTCCGGGGGCGGGGGCGCGCGGGAGGGGGACGTGGGAGTGTCTCCTCCGCTGGGGGTGGGGGCGGAGGGGGGACATACCGCGGCGGTGACTGGCCCAGGCCGCTCCCCAGCTCAGCTCGAGGTGATCTTATGACGGGCGTGTGTACCGGGTAGTGGAGAGTCTGTCTAATGTCACCGCGCCCAGCGCAGCGAGCGCAGACGAGCCGGAAACCCACGGAGATGGAATGGAGCTGAGATGATGTCTTTGCCCGTGGCGCGAGCCTGACATATTGAAAGATGGTTATTGGTTATATACCGGGTGGCCCAGAAAAAACGTTCCCAACTTTAAATCAACATTTTTCAGAAAGTGATTAAGACACAACATTGAAACTTCCAATAGTCAATGCGGCATATATTTTCAGTGAATTGTATTATTTTTATGTTATTCGGGCAATTACTTTTTAAATGGTTCGTGTTTCTAGCATGCCATGTAAAAATTACTTTTTTGCTCAGATGTTTATTTAAAAAAAATGTGAGTGAACGGGCCACTTCATCTCGGTACCACGGCCTGCAGCCATGACTGCTACTGGCAACTAGCCTCACTGATGGTTCAGGCCTGGGTGCACATTCCCTCTAGCTTTTTTCCTTATTCGGTCGATTTACTGTTTGATTTTCTTGAAGGGAGGGTAATCAGCAGTAACCCATGCACTGCGTCACTCCTTCTGCTCGAAACAGGACTCAGTGTTGAAACGAATGGCATCCATTAACAGTTAACACCATTTTGGCTCAGTATTTGAATATTCGGCACATAAGTGGGACAAAAATATTTAAAATAACAACCCACGTGCAGGTTTCATTCACGTGTTCCATTTTCTTTTTTTTTCCTAACATGGTACGTCTAAAGCCAATCATCACTACCGTCCAACATCGGCAAAAAAAAAGCAAAAGCGTCTTATTAAATTCAACATAAGATTGCTCGCTTGAAAATGATGATAGAGTGTTATAATTTGGCATACCAATGCGCAAAGAAGTGACGTAAACTTGATGAGAATTTTGGCTCGTTATTTGCACTCAACTTTGAGATATAGGCCTTCAAAGTTCGGAACGTTTTTTTGGCCACCCGGTATGGCATAGGATAAGTTAAATGTTGAACTCTTTTTCGTGGATACTTGCAGAACGAGCCTAAGAAGAAGTTAGAGATGCTTCATTTACTTGTTTTGTTAGAAGGCATCACCTACGTACGATACCGAACGCTCATCATCTTCAGTCACACAGTTATTGCCACGATGCAGCTGATTTTACAAACCGTTTGCGTGACAAGTTACGTGGGTTATCACATATCAGTAATACCCCGACAGACATAAAACGTCCGACGTCTCATTACAGGGAAACCGAATGTGTCAGGCGAACTCTGTTTTGACTGTAGCTGTCACATTGTTTCCAATTATTGCAGTGTCAAGCGAGCCTCTCTCTCCATCCCTCCCTCTTCCTCCCTTACGCTAGTCGCGATGGTGCTTAGGTGCCCGTTTAAGTCGCCAAACGAGACATTTAACAGTCAATGGGATTACGTTTGTCACGTCTGCACGTAAAGGTCGAGTTTCGTGAACTCCACGGAACAGGATAATTCAAAGGCTCGGTAACGGCACAGCGATAATATAATCGCTGTCATCGTGTAATTTACTGCCTGCACTGATAGCAAATTAACACCCGATCATGTCCACCTACACGCAGTCAGCACCCACTTCAGAGGTTAATAAAAGTGTTACACTCGATTGCTAGGTCTTTGTACACTTCGAACACTGCCATTCAAGGTCATCGCTGAAGTGCAGCAAGTTAACACTCAGTGGCAACACTCAGCTACGGAAGTTACACCATATGCACACCCTGCGTAAGTTCCGTTCACACTCGAAACACTTGCAGAGCTCATCTCCTAAAGTGTGATCATAATGCGAGTGTTTTTTTCCGGCCCGAGTGTTACCAACTATTTTTCCAGGGGTCATTTACGACGCTCGTCGACGCCATTTTATATATTGGCGGAGTGGCCGCGCGGCGCGTCGTTGTTTCGGTGGCAAATGTGCATTGATTTAATTTAATTGTATTGCACTGATTTTTGCATTTCGAGTTGATTTGCGGAGAAGGTGAGGCTGGTTTCAGTGTTGGCAAATGTTGATGTGGTGATTGACTAGGTAGTCTATGGGATCTAGAGGGGGTGACAGTGTTCCAAAATCCATTCAACTTTGAGCTGCGGTGCCTGGGAAAAAATCAGCCCCTTAAAAGAGGTTGAGAGTAGAAAATTGACATAACTCTCCAAATCATTGAATACATAACTATGAAAAATGAACATTGAGTACCTTCCTCAGGAATTTGGAAAGGATATAGCTACGTAGTACGTACCTACGTAAACGCCATATTTCACACTCTTGAATTTTCCACTCTTACCCTTTTTAGGGGCTGATTTTTCCCCAGGCACCCCAGATCGGTAATCTTTGACTAGAGTACCTACCTGCATAGTTGGAATTTTACTTTTTCTTCCTGGCGGAGTAGGTACAGAATTTTCAGCAGCGGAGTACAAAGACGTGATAACTACCTACCTACAAAGGTGGGTAGTAGCTAGATATTGATTACCAATGTTTATCATCACAACACAGTCGGGGAAACTATGGTAAAATCTGCTATTTTTAGCAGTCTGCTATTTTTAGCAGAAATCTGCTAAAAATGGGTATGCATGTGACGTCATCGTACCCAAATATAGTAGATTTGGGTACGGCCCCATACAAAAGCAGATCTGCACCCTAATTGAAGCAAATGCGCATCAAATGGCTGGCAGATTCATGATTAGAATAGTGCTGAGAATGTCCTCTGATATTTTTGTTCAGATCCGACTCTTTGCAAATAATGAGTTTGAAAATAGTCGGATCTGAACAAAAATAGCAGAGATCACTCTCAGCACTATTCTCATCATGAATCTGCCAGGCATTTGATGCGCATTTGCTTCAATTAGGGTGCAGATCTGCTTTTGTATGGGGCCGTACCCAAATCTGCTATATTTGGGTACGATGACGTCACATGCGTACCCATTTTTAGCAGATTTCTGCTAAAAATAGCAGACTGCTAAAAATAACAGATTTCACCATAGTTTCCCCGACTGAACAGGGGGTAGAAATGTAATACAGGTTACCTACCTTACTCTATTGAATATTATACAACATAAATAAAAAAATAATTGTTAAAAATAACCAGTAAATGAATGTATGTCACTAGGTGTGCACTGTGCTCCATCAACGTTGATGGGCCAACAAAAGACAGCAAAAGATCTTAATCACCCAGGCATAGTGAAATAAGCGCCTCGTTTATCAAGGTATTATTTTATTTGAGTAGGTATAAAACTTTCATTTCAAATTCTGTTGGTGGCTGCCTCCTGCAGTGCATTCTATTGTGTACGTCTCAGTTGGTGAAACTGTGGTCATCTCTTCCATTTTTGAAAGCTTCCGGAGTGGTTCCCTAATAGGCTTTTATATTTCCTATGGTTTTATTAAAAAGTGTAATTTACGTCCCCATTTATGGAAGTAGCATCCCTATTTATGGAAGATGCCTTTTTATTTTTAGAAGAGCGTACCTAAATATGGAGCTACCAAAAATGAAACAGATTACCATAGTTTCACCAACTGGTCTGGGAGTACATAGGTAGTCACACTGTGGAGTACCATTCCTGGAGCAGAACAAGCAAACAGCAAGTTTTCCAAGTCCAACACTGCCTACCTGTGCTTCAAAGGTTAGATTACGTTAGGTAGGTGAGGTTAGATTGTGCTTAAAATAAATGATCTTTGGGAGTGGAAAATTTAAATTGATGTGATTAAGCCAAAGTGAGAGGGGAAAATTATGTTCATTTGGTTACCATTTCCACCAATAGACAAATTTTGGGACACTTGGGAGTTGGGGGTGACATGGCAAAAGCCCCCCAAATGACCTGATTTTTAGCATTACGTCTATGCAGGCATGGGTATTGGTAAGGCAGGCGTTGCCAGACGGAAACATCTCTAGAAATCTCTATAAAATTATCTAAACAACCCAGCCTGATCTATCCTAAACTACGCCTACACCTTCAATGTTGTATCACTATCATTGGGATTTCTAGAAATTTTCCCACTGGCAACGCTTCGTGTGCTGCATGCCTTACCCTCACCCAGAAGCGAAACCACAACTGGGGATCCAAGGCTGGGGACCGGTTCACAGTAACTTTTGGGCTATTGGGAACCGTCCCTAGTAAAAACTTGAATTTGCAAAACAAGTAAATCATTTCATTTAAAGACACCCAAAGCACAATGGAACCCAATGTAACATTTTTTTCTCACACACTTCCTCTCAGATTTAGTATTTGGTGTTATTGGTGCTCTGGTTGGTCCCCAGTAACTTCAAACTTGTGGTTACTCCTGTGCACCTATGGTGGTGCATGTAAATAACTGGATAGGTAGCTGAACTGAGCTGGACTTAATCCGAACTCTGAAGTCGCTTGAACTTTGAACTGAAATATATCAAAGTTCACAAAATGTTTCAGCCCTGGTATCAGGCTGGCTAAGTACTTACCACAACTAAGCCATAAATTATGGCAATATGAGCAACAGGGATGCAGAGCCAGAGTCAGAACTTCTTGCCCAGAGCCGGAACCGCTGTAACATTCTGTATACAGCTGAAGCCATAACAGTTGGTTCCCAGCCAGCCATCCCAACTGGGGCCCACATGGGATTCAAGTGGGCAGCTCACCTGGGCCCCACTTGGGAATGTCATGGGCGGCCAGCTGGGTCCCATCTGGGAAACTGGGTCCCATCTGGGTCCCAATTGGGTCAGCCCTGCTGGGACCCACCTAAGTTAGATTTACCAATTTTGTGGATCTGTTTTTATGATCCGTTTTTGATCCATACCCCTCCCTCATCATTCATATTGCAACGTCCCATTCACAGCTAGCAATAAAAATGGGACATAATACTTTACCTAACAGGCTGTTTGTATAATATTTCTGAACAATTGCAGTAAACCGGTTTTCTCTGTCATTTCAGGAAATGGACATTCATGGCCGATTGGAATACAAATGCCACCACTGTTCCATAATCACGCACACCAAAAGGGAGGCCTCGAAACATGCCAGAAAGCACTCGGGAAATCCTTTTTTTCGCATCACTTGCCCAATATGCAAAGCAGTCTTCGCATCTGTATGGGGATGGAGCAGACACCTTAATGTACACGGCATTGGGATGGAATGCGGCCCCGAATCGGCTGGACTAGGATCAGATACTGCCAACGAAGCAGTAGCTTCCACATCCCAGCAAAAGCATGATGAATCAGAGACATGCCAAGATGTTGAATCAACTCATGAAGCTGATGCATCTTGCAACGCTGAAGAGGGGCTTGTTTTTGATGCCCGCAAAGAGTTGGCCTCCTTGGTATTGCGTCTGCGGGCCAAGAATGTTACGGAAAGCTCATGCAGAGATGTCCTGGAGGCTGTTCATTCTTTTACCAGTCATGGGATCGCAGAATATGAGAAAAACAAGCAGGACCAAAGCTCACCATCGGCTAGTGACTCAGCGTCAGGACCAGACTTGCAGTGTCTGAAAACTTGTGACGCATTCATGAGAACTGATCATCTTGAAGCCGCAGCTCTAAGAGAGTTTGACTCAACACAGCCGGAAGCAGTCACCATTGGAAGAGATGAGAACGGGAGCGAGGAGACTGTTCAGTACGTATCACTGACTTCTCAGCTCAAAGCATGTTCAGAAGAACGCAACGTTACGCTAGTAGCCATGGCACATTCAGATTCTGCTGAGCTCCGCGGGCCTCAGGATGGTTCTGCTCACTCATACTGTGATGATGAAACGCTTCTTCTGGCTATCTATTACGATGGCTTTCAGGTTGGTAATCCATTGGGGAATAAAGCAAAACAGCATGCGCTTGGAGCTATTTACTGCAGCATAGTCAACACAGAGTACCGAGGGAAGATTGATGAAATTTTGTTTGTGCTTCTTTTTCAAGAGATTCTTCTTAAGAAGTACTCATGGGAACAAATCTTGAAACCTCTTTTGGAAGAAGTGCGTGTTCTGGAAGCAGAAGGCATTGTGCTGAACGGAAAACACTTCAGAGTGCGTCTTTCAGTTGTTCTCGGTGACAACCTGGGCATCCACACTATTGCTGGGTTTTCTGCAAATTTTGCGGGTGGCCCAATGATGTGCCGCTTCTGTCACGGTACCAAAGAAGAAATCCGAACGAAAACACATGAGCGTGAGTTTCGTCTGCGCACTCGCGAAGACTACGACGCGAGTATTCGTGTTCTGGAAGAGGAGAACTTTGAAGAGTCAATGTGCAAAGCTCTGGGGATAAAGGCAGCATGCCCGTTCAGCGGAATGGCATCCTTCCATGCGGCTGAATCATTCCCACCAGACCTGATGCATGACGTGCTGGAGGGTGTGGTGCCATCGACCTTCAGTCTCGTGCTAGGAAAGATGCTGTCTGAGAATGTCGTTGATGGTGCTGCCCTAAACGACGCAACTAGGAACTTTCCGTATTCCGCTGTCGACACAAATCGACCGGGGAAGATACTTGTGGATGGGACCAAAGGAAGATACCAGGTACGGCGCAGCAAGCCAACAGCCAACGAGGCATGGGTGCTTCTTCGGTTGCTTCCACTGCTCCTGATCTACGCTGGCGTCGCCGCTGATTCTCTTGGTCAGTGCGCAGAATTCAGTCTCATTGTGCGGCTCATCGGCATTATGCAAACCCTGTCGTCATTCGTGCTGTACCACGGAGAAATCAACCGCACACAACAGGAGATAGAAACGTTTCTAGCTGATGTGATGCGCCTCTTCCCGACGTTCCATCTCACACCGAAGCATCACTACCTGGTACATTACCCAAGTCAATTGTTCAAGCATGGGCCGCTGCGCCGTCTTTGGTGTATGAGATTTGAGGCATATCATCAGGTACTCAAACGCACGATTGCAAACTCTCGCCAGCGCAAGAACGTTTGCAGGTCAATCGCCCTCAGACACCAAGTGCAAGTGGTCGCCAAGAACTTGGAGAGCAGGACGATTTCTTCCAAAGAGCGCTCAGTGTTCAAGGGTTCCATCCCAGACGGATGTGAAAGACTGATTCAGGGTGCAACACTGTACAGAAAAGTGAAGCTGAACGGTGTGGAATATCAGTCGTGTGAAGCACTGGTTCTGACGGATGGGATGGCAGAAATTTTATGTATCTGTGGAAGGGGCAACTCCCATTCATTCTTGGTGAGAGGATTGGTCGCCACGTATGATGCTGTGCTCTGTGCTTTTCGAGTGGCACGAACTACAAACGTGCAGGTAGTGGACTACGCTGCGCTTCAAGAAACAGAGCCCGTTGGCCTGTACGAGGTGCGCAACACGCTGTACGCCGTACCACGTCATCTCCTGCGGAACACCGACATGACGACATACACTGCGAGGTAAATATATTTCAACTGTGACAACAGACACTGTTCTTCATCAAGTTAATTTTCGTTCCTCGCCTAGTTACCAGTAGCAGGGCTGCGGAGTCGGAGTCGGAATCGACAGTTTTGGCCGGAGTCGGAGTCGGTGTCGATAAATTTTCACCGACTCCGGAACGGAGTCGGAGTCGGTTTTCGTAGCATTTCTTCCAGAAGAGTTATTTCGGAGCCGGAGCTGACCTATTTTGACGGCTCTGGCTTCGGATAAAATGTTACAGGGGCTCCGGCTTTGGACAAAATATGCCGGCTCCGGCAGCTCTGGCTCAGTGGTCCTGGTATCAAAACGTAGACCCGCTCATCAAAAACATTTACCTAATACCTCAATGTCGCATTTTGTTGGTGTTTTTTTTTCTTAATTGATCTACGTTAGTAAGCCACAATTCAGCTCATTCGCATATTATCATAAACATATTGAAATGTGCCTCCATTGTGTCTACTGTCATAGGGCAAAACGTAATCCGTCTTTTGATGGTGCCACGGTGCGCAATCCGTTTCACAGAACTACAATGCTATCATGCCGTCACTCTGCTCTCTACGATACCGCTTAATAGTGAGGTTGCGTGTGCTCTTCAGCTGGGTACCGGCGACGTAAAGGCGGGCCCAGGAATCAGTTTCCCCATCGCTCTGCTACCAACTACTTACCGTGAAAACCGTCAGTTAAGGAGTGAAACATTTGAGGTTTATGTTGTAAGCATTTCTTGTGTTAGAATCGTGTTGATAACTTAGTTCTTAACGTTCCAGATAATGGCGGACCCCGGGCTCGCACGGGAGTACGTAGTCGCCTGCGATACCGGAGGCAAAGAACCCGTGCGTAAGCTAGTCAAGTCGAAGAAGACTACGCTCTTACAGACAGCAAAGCGGGTGTTCGGTGTGACAGGGGACGGCTACGAACTCGACTACTACCACCCTAAACTGGAAGTGTATATACGTCCCGACACGGCACAAGACATTCCAGACGACTGTGTCCAGGTCAGGCTGGTACCGCCGGTACTTGCGTGCACCTTCGAGTCCTCACCATCGACGGCTTCCACAGTGCCGATCCTTGCCATCCAGGGGACTTCTGGCGCTACATCTGATGATATCGGAGCTTTCTTTAATCCTTCCGTCGGCCCATCCACGCCGTAAGTCGATATCATGCTTCGGCTGATACGGTTTTTGTGCGATTCTAAACGAACATTCACTACCTACCCAAAATGAAAAGTGATCCTTTGTTTTCATCAAAACATGAACATGCATATTGCATGCTTAGTGTTCACTTAATGTTCAATATATCAATCAGGGGATCATTGTCAATGTTGCTTGAGAATAAATACGAAGTAAACAAATGGGTATATAGATGGTAGACAATAAAGACAGATATTTGTAATTTTGACTCATTCTTGCATCGAGTCTTGGATCGTACATGCATTTTTTTTTTTTTTTTAACTGATAAAAGTTCCGCGTTATTTTCTCGCATATTTTACTTTCATAATGTATCCATTCATTTTAAGTAACGAAGATATTCCAATGTATAGGAAATTGTTTATAACAATGAGTATTTAGTTTCGAAGAAAAAAATGGTGCGATTATCAGTGAATCACTCTTAAGACCGGTATAACATTGCATCGTTATGTGATCAAGACGTTTCACATTCCCAGCTCACGATCCGATGCACGGGGTGACGGCGACACACCTGCCGCACCTGCGGACCCTGACGAACTTGCTGCACCTGCGGACCCCGACGAACCTGCTGCAACTGCGGACCCCACAAAGGAGAAAAAGCGGTAAGTAATGCCACATCGCCTTTGCTAGTACTGCAACCTCTGTTGCGCGGTGGGCTAACGCGTGCGCCGTGGGTGTTGGATGTCATTGGCTCAAAGCTTACCTCCGATGTCGTTTTTCTCGACCGCCTCATACCCATGACGTGTCGGTAACTGGGGAGTGGTCTGTTAGCTCTGGGTTCTGACGCTGCATCAGCCAACTCCCCCGGCAGTACGCTGGTACGCTGGCCCGATCCACCTTTAAATACTGGATTCTTCGGTCCGGCGTCATACCGGAGGGGATTGTCTCACTTCTTGGCCCGGAGCAGCAGGCCTCTAACACCCCGGGCCCGAGAAATCAGGGCTGCCCCAGTATGCCCACCGGTGACATCCGGGTGTCCATCCGTATTCAATGGTCGTAGCTGCATATGAAACCGCTTTGTGTACTTGCACTCAAAATTCACAGTTTGTGACCTCGACTTTGTCGCTGCCACAAACTGTGAAATTTGTCGCGCTCGTACACAAGCCTATAATAGAAATTACCTCTTACATATTGAACCTCAAAAGTGCGGGACGTTTTCTTCATGCTCCCGTGTGCTCTGGGAGTGAAAGCTAAGCTTTCAGACTTTGCGCAACTGAAAGTGCTATCTCCTTTTCAGCGCGCCGTTCAAAGTTGACATCGAGTCCCTGGACGGCCACCTGGCCAGCAGCCTACATGGTATGACGGCCCTGAACAAGTCGGACAGGGTCCGCCTAATGGACGTGATACATGCCCAGTACTGCAAGCAGTACAAAACAAGGTGAGTCTGATACGCCCCTCCTGCTGAGACGTTGCAAAGCTCTGGTTGCCACACATTTGCTAAAGGTAGACTGTCACTTAATTTTCACTTCACGGTTTTCATTAGACCTGACCCGCCCGTGACCCAACATCAAGACCGTTTTTTCGAAATTCGAACCCGTTTTTGAGAAACCTGCAATCAAAGTTTCATCACAAAACGTTCTCTGCCTACACCTTTTTTACGACCAATTGAAGATGTTCCGAAAAATAGTCCGCTTTTCAGCTATTAGGCATGGTGCGTTCGCATATTGATAAAATATCACGCACAAATGCAACGTATTAGCGCACAATGCCGAACAGCTGAATGACCTACACTTTCTAAAAGGCATGCACTGCCTCCTAAATTAGGCGTAAAAGGTGTAACTGCCCCCAAAGTAAGGATGGCATCTTCCAATTTGGGGTAAGCCGGATACCTCGCAAACGGAAATGAATTTAAAAAAAAACGGCTTTCAGAGTGGTACACAGGTGGGCCAGGGCTAGTGAAAACCAAGGCTGCGGAGTCGGAGTCGGAGTCGACCAGAGTCGACAGTTTAGCCCGAAGTCGTAGTTGGAGTCGGAGTCGAAAATTTTCACCGGGTCGGAGTCGTAGTCGTTTTTTTTTTGGGAAAATAAGAAGCTAATACTTAACCTTTTCTCGAAATTTCAATCAGTTTATGTAAGACAAAAACACAAATCTTTGAAAACAGCTTGCATTGGTTCTCAGAGGTCAGTGAAAGAGCATTAGCTGATATTTCAACCGCAAGGTCCTGATCATAATGTAAATATTTGCACAAAAAACAATATCATTCCATTCTGCTTTTCACTTTAATGCGTTTGCTATCAACTGTTTCGATTTTTCCATATTCTAGGATCAACAATTATGACGAAACTCGCTGCAAATGGCATGCACCAGGACAGGCCAAGAGGCGCAACTGTCGCTGCAAAACTTCACTGCGCTGTCTTCACCTGAAACGGATGCTGTCTGCCACTTGCCTGCCCATCGGGCGCTGGCGGTGGCGTCATCCTCTGGTGTGACAGGCCGGTGAACATTGTCTTTCGAGATTAGCTAGATAACTGAGAAACGTTGCCATCCAAACTTTAAGCAAGACACTAGTCTAAAAACTCTTCTAAAGTAACCGTTTATTAACCTATGCAAAAAGAGGATTACAATTTTCATTCTTCAGTCACTGTCATGACTGGTGTGGGCCGGAGTCGGTACTGGAGTCGGAGTCGGAGGAGATTTTTTACCCGGAGTCGGAGTCGACTATGAAATTGTATCGACTCCGCAGCCCTGGTGAAAACCATACAAATGATTAAAAATAAAAATAATTAAAATCAAGTGACAGTCTTCCTTTAAGTTGATAAGGTTAAATAAGGTTAATAAAGTAATACAACTTTGCTTGTGGAGATGTCGGAAATGCACCGCTCGCCGGCGGCCAGCATGCGAAGTGTGGATGATGACATCCTCTCTCTCTCTCTCTCTCTCTCTCTCTCTCTCTCTCTCTCTCTCTCTCTCTCTCTCTCTCTCTCTCTCTCTCACTCTCTCTCTCTCTCAGGTACTTGGGAGACCGAGCTGAATCCCTCGCAGCAGACATCGTCCAGCAGTTCGACTGTCTCTTCATGGGCATGGACCTCTACGATCGCATAGTAAGTATTTCGGCATACGATAAACAGTATGTTACTGCTATGTCCTTCTGAGAAGCTGATCCAATCTCACACTCTCCTGGTGCCATTTGTATTAATGTGAAAGGCCCGGCTCTTACCAGCTGGCCGGGTGCACAACGCCGGTGTATTGTGACGTTGGCCGTGACCCGTCGCGGTGCTCGCCGGCGGTGTCGTCTCTCGCCCGTGCCGCCGCCGTCGCCGAAGACGCGTCGTCAGACACCTGGCGCAGGTGCTGCTGGCTCCATCTTCCACACGCCGCTCGGATGTGGCCGCGCTTGCCGCAACCGCATCCGACTGCAGTCCCCGGTGGCGGCTCCGCCGGCGGAGCCGCCACCGGGGACGGAGCCGGGGCCGGCGGCACCGGAGTCACGAGAGACCGTGACGGGTCACGGCAAAGGTCACAATACACCGGCGTTGTGCACCCGGCCAGCTGGTAAGAGCCGGGCCCTTCACATTACTACACTATTATTCAAGTGCATTAAAAAACAGTGATTACACAAAATGATATGAGCTACTTGGATCGGCCTTAGCCTCGGGCCAATGAATAGGCTTTAGAAGTACATTAGTTTTGTTCTTAATTGAGCAACATTTCTTACATGAGCAGCATTTTTATATTACAACCATTTATCAAAAATCGTGCATTAAATAGTGTAAGCGCAATGATAATGAACCAAGGTGTAATTATTTGTGACGCGTTCGACTCTGTAGTTTCTGGAGCTCCATCGTCATTTTTGTTCATCGTCCAATTTATATCCATACTTGACTCGTTAGTATAAGCTAGTTAAGTGATCATCTTGTTCTGTCCAAGTGACACTCGTATGATGTTTTATTCGACAGAATATGACGAGGGTGATGATAACCAACAAATTCAAGAACCAGAGACGCGGCGACACGTCTGATGAAGTGATCAGCAAAAAGAGGTCCAAAAAAAGTCTGATGAACTACCTCCCCATAGACAAGGAAGTCCGAGATGCCGGGGAGCTGCGGCATCAGCTGCGAGAGGGCCTTCTCGATGGCACGGAAGTGAGTGATTCTTGGGTAGTAGGGGAAATTTGTAGGGGGATATAGGAGTATAGGGGGAAGCCCGCGCCCCACGTGTCGCGGGCTATCTATGCTTCCTGCGTATCCTCATTCTCATGAAAACCTGTCCTCAGGACCAGGAAGTGTGAAAATTGTGAGCTAATGACATCACTTAACACGCGCACTGCCGGGGGGGGGGGGACCTATGTACCCACCCCACATTTTGGGAAAAACTCGACTCGTAGCTGGGAAACTAGAAGGGCTAGAAAGACGCGGAAAAACATTCGAGTGTCTTTTAATTCTAAATGTACCCGGTGTCGACAGATTTGAGGTCAGGCTAACGGTTTGGCTTCCAGAGGACATGCAAGGTAAAAATAGCTGATTTTCACGAAAATTGTCTTGTTCAATAACTTCTGTTCAAAGCATGACAGAGACACGATTCATACACCATCGTGTTTGTCTAATCAAGACACGTCGAATGATATATAATTTGACCTCAAAAGGTCAAGTTTCAACTTTGACCTCAGGTAAGGGTCATGACCTGACCTCAAAAGGTCAGGTTGAGGTGACCTGACTTCTGGTAATATCGTGTTTATTTCCGCATAAAATGTGCAAAATTGATGTCGGAACAGGTATGTCAAATTTTGGGGCGCGCGGTGGCACATAGGTAGTAGGTACATACCCCCTCCCCCGGCAGTGCGAGGGTTAACTTCTAAATAAATTGATCTAGGGTCACCAAATAGGAACGCCAAAGCGTGCTTCCATACGCCATTTGCGGCTACGTAATTTTCGTCTGTTTTGTGGTACAATTATGTGTGTTGCTTGGCAGCTGAAGGAGGCAATGGACAAGACCTTCGCCGACCGCCGTCAGCTGGTAATCAAAAGAAAAATCGGACTGGCGGCTCTCAAACGCGTCTATCCCGCCCTCTTCAATGAAGTGGAGGTTAGTTCACGAAACGAATCTACAGAATCTGGAGACCGTTCTTCTCGGAAACAAACGTTTTTCTTTTAAGCTACTAATTGTTATACTTTTTTCAAGCCTGACTATTATATCTTGCTCTTGAGGTTCCAGCAAAGCTTTATTCACCATTGCACTTGTAGTCGCCGTGCCCTAAACCCTAATCATCATCATTTATTTACCATTGCAAAAAAATCGTAATTTACTCGGGGTTAAATAATCAGACTAAGTAAGGTCATCGTTCATATCAATACATTGTTAGATTAAAATGTCAAAGTTTCTTGGATTTGAATTGAGTTTTGGTTAAGTTCTTGGTCATTTTCTAGTGAATAACGCATTTAAAACGGAGCAATCAGTAGTTTTAGCTAATACCAAAACTCTGTTCCAGATCTGGGAAGAACTCGCAAGGGTGCGTGGGGCAAACAGGACCTGGGAAGAGGAGTTGGAGGAAGCGAGGATGGCGCTCAAATCCATGTTGAACGGAGTCGCCTTCTGTGACACTCTGGGTAAGTGAGAAACTTTGACTGAACCCATGTTGACTAAAGAAAGTGGCGTTAGCTTGGCGTACTCTGGCTTGCAGTTGAGGGGGATGATCAATTGCACTTTCTCGATTTAAGTGCCTTTCTAATTGTCATCAGAAACACTCATCAAGCAAAAAAATGTCATAGGTCCCTGTCGTTGAAATGCATCACCCATGTTATTTGGTATAGGTCCATCGGGGTCATCTGAAGTCACCAACGATTTCCTGCAATAGCTTTGGATCGAAAAAAAAATACTAACTTTATTCCAACATCATTGTATTTTTCTTGTCAACACAGAACGAATGATGAATAATAGCTCTTTCTACGAAGGTAATTTGATGCCAAAGTTTCAGATGCACCAAAATCTGAATCAAATGCATCTAATAGAAATTCCGAATAGAACGCGGATAGAGAGTGACGTAAGTGATTAAAGAGGTCACATGCTACTGTGGCACAAACTTCTGATTTGCTGACTTCTGACTTCCGATGAGCTCTTTGATCTGACCGAAAAATGACCGATGTACACAGTACACCCAAACATATTTTTTACGATATTTCGAAACCTGCTTACCGCTTGTCTCTACGGCACTCAGGAGTTCAGCTGCAGGGGAGTCGTAAACCACCTCGTCCCGCTCTTTTCCTCTCTCTCTCTCTCTCTCTCTCTCTCTCTCTCTCTCTCTCTCTCTCTCTCTCTCTCTCTCTCTCTCTCTCTCTCTCTTCTCTCTCTCTCTTCTCTCTCTCTCTCTCTCTTCTCTCTCTCTCTTCTCTCTCTCTCTTCTCTCTTCTCTCTTCTCTCTCTCTCTTCTCTCTCTCTCTCTCTCTCTCTCTCTCTCTCTCTCTCTCTCTCTCTCTCTCTTTCTCTCCCTCTCCCTCTCCCCTCTCTCCCTCTCCTCTCTCCTCTCTCTCTCTCTCTCTCTCTCTCTCTGTCTCTCTCTCTCTCTACCTCCCTTCCCCTCTCTCTCCGCTCTCTTTCTTTTCCGCTCTTTCTTTCTCTCTCTCTCTCTCTCTCTCTCTCGCTCTCTTCCGCTCTCTCTCGCTCTCTTCCGCTCTCTCTCGCTCTCTCTCTCTCTCGCTCTCTTTCGCTCTAGCTCGCTCTCTCCCGCTCTCTCTCTTTCCCTCTCTCTCTTATCCTCTCTCTTTCTTTTCTGCTCTCTCTTCCGCTCTCTCTCTCTCTCTCTCTCTCTCTCTATCTCTCTCTCTTCCGCTCTTTCTCTCTCTCTCTCTCTATCTCTCTCTCTCCCGCTCTCTCTGTCCCACTCTCTCTCCCGCTGTCTCCCTGTGTGTTTTGTTTTGCTTAGACTTTGGTCATCTATTGCAGATGAAAAGCTGGCACATGTGCTGATGGAGATGAGGGAGGAACACGTCGTGTTCGGGCCGCCAGGAGGCCAGGCTGGCCCACCGACCATCCACGAAGGGGAACTATGGGTGGAGGGCGTAAAGGTGGCCCAGTTTGAGAGGTTCATGTCAAAGGCGGACCAATATCTGACCTGGGGGGCGGCATTCACTGTGTTCGCACAGCGCCTCAGTTTCCGCGCGACGCAAGCAGCTGCCTACTTGGTCAATGTACACGTTCTGAAAACGGACTCGGTGAAAGCCCCAAAAAACTTCAAGAGAGGTATGCCGTACCTGCAGTGAAAGGCCACTTCCGCGCCGAGTCGTTACCGGGGCCGCCAGTGACTGGCCCGGCCCCGGGCGGCGGGCGGGCGGGGCGGGCGTACGCGGCGCCGGCCGTTCGGCTTAGCGCCCCTACGAGTGGGATCTGAAGTGCCGGCTGAGCCCGCGCCGCCAGCCTGAGACGGGCGGCGACGTCTCCGGCTGGCGGCTCTGCGGCTCCGGTCTGGCGCCGGCCGAGCTCCGTACTTTGATGCGTTGAGGCGCTGCCCGCGGTGTCCGCCGGGCGGCCTCTCGTCCCGCGCGGCGACTGCGGCTGCTGCAGTGCCAAGATGCATGCTCTGCATTTCTGTTCGCACCGAATCAATACAGTTGACAGTAAACGGTAGTGTATTTTACAAAACACTGATTGTGATGATCAGAGGAGAGTTTGTGCAATATTCAAAGCAAAAATCACGGAGAATATGTCTGAAAGAGGAAATGCTACATGCATGTAGCATTTCCTCTTGCGAATGAAATTTCTCATGAGAAATTTCATTCGCATCCAGCTCAGCAACACTTGGTTTGGGTGTTTAAATTACACGTCTGTGTTTTTGCATTAAGTGTGATACGCATGCGAGGTGTTTTCCTGGGTGTAACCAGAAGACAAGACACTTGTAATGAAGGTTTTACTCTCGGTGTTAACACCAGGTTAAGGTGTTTTCGACACCCGAATAAGAGGTTATGACAAAGTGTTACACCTATGACGGGTGTTTCTATGGTGAGTGTGATCCTGGTGGAGAGTGTTAAAGACGAGTGTTACACTTCTACAAACACCCAATTTAGGTGTGCACTTGAGACGGGTGTAAGTGAGCGCACCGGATCAACGACACTCGTCTTAGGTGTTAACACTCGAGACGGGTGTTAATTTGCTATCAGTGTGGCAGCGCCGCAGGGGCCGGACGTGGACCAATTTAGACGGAGCTCGGTGGTCGTGCCCGATCGGTGGCGCTCCGGGAAACGGTCTGTAAGGTAATGGAACTCGGACCAAGTTAGCGCGTCCAACTCGAGCCAAGCCGTCGGAGAGTCGCCGCGAGACCGCTTTGGTCGATCTCGAACGGAGCCAGCTCACATCTAAGGATAGACTGGTTTTAAAGACGCGCGGCTCTCGATCTCCGCCAAAGGCACCGCCCGCTGTGGCCCCAACTTGACTCGGGGTAGAACCAACACTGCTCCAAAGACAAGGCGTCGCCGAGCAGGCGCGAAAACGACAGATGGTGTTCCCCTCTCGTCGGCACCGTTGCCGGCGGCCGTGTCGCGTTTCAGCGACCGACGGTGGGTCTCTGCGGGTCATGGCAAGCCCGCCGGCTGCGCTCATCGCCGGCGACGATGGCGCGTGGGAAATCGGCGGCGATCGACGTTCGATGGTGCGCGCACACGACACCCTTCCCACTAAGACACAGTTACTAAAACAGCGAGCGCGCGTCGTTTGCGACGCTAGGAATGCAGCCGACGGAGCGGAGAGCAGAAGTTCGACGAGCAGTTTGACGGGAACTGTTTTCAGAGGTCGCACGGCTGAGTTGGTTTGGCTCGGCAGGAGCGCTGACGTGAGAATTAAACCGGACTCTTAGAATCACTACGGATAATATGTCTCAAGGCCTTAGCGAATTCTCATTAGTTATTGGGTCACAACTGCAATTAGACACAAATGTTTTTTTTTTTAGTTTGCGTTATTATGACAATTTCCAGTTGTTCATCCCACTATAGCTAGAACACGGACAAGGAAATTTGGATTGCAACTAAAAAAAAAAAAAAAATCGTAAAAGGTAATCCCATCTTGGGCATGTGAGTCACTGTGTTCGCATTTCACTTCACACCAACATCATGAGCAAATCACATGTAAATATTTGTGTTCCTTCACCATCCGAGAGCCCTCGGAGGTGATTCCCTTTCAGGGCCTCAAATTGCTCCATCATGTTTCACCTAGTCCTACTGCAGCTGTTTACCTGTGACCTATATCAACTCCAGCTGCAGCTGCACAGGGGCGTTTACATTACCGCTGAACGGATATGCAATTTGATCGTGCATAATTGACCTTCGTGCTGCATTCGCCACAGCTTCCAGTCACCATTGTGGCGCCGCGGTTATGGTTCTGGGAACAGCGGCACCCGTGCCAGCCGGCACGCGCCGTGTCCTGCCACACGGCACATGGGAGTGACCCAATCATAAAACAGATCGTTATGCCAGCGGTGAAAGCCGGGCGTACCGCAGGGGTGCGTTTTTGCGCCGCCTATTTTACCCGTAACACGGCGCTGTCCGGCCATATCAGTAGCCGCGTGATGGGCAGGTTTTCAGCTCCGGTTTGTCACGACACCGCCCCCACCGACAGCTCCCGTGTGAGGGGCCCGCCCCCTCCTTCACCCCCTCCCTGGTTTCTCCAGGAGATGAAGTTTCCTTGCGCTACCAATAGCAGCAACGAGTCAGAGAATGGTCGTCGTCACTCGTGACCACGGCGTCGTCATTTGTCGAAGAACCGGTGTGTGATATCGAGCTGCTGGGGAAGACCGTCATGATGCGATGCTTCGAGAAAGGATTGACGAGATCCATGGGTGCTGTCCCACCTCGGCTCGCGACCGCTCTCTCCGTTGTTCAAAGGGCCGTCAGGCAGTGCTGAGGGCTGAGGTCACTAGTGTGACGTGTCTGACGCTGCCCCGTGTAACGTGTTTACGTGAACGGCGCGCGAGTGGAGGTGGCGACGAAAGTGGCGCACAGTGTCAACAAATCCTCTAAGGATGCTACCGCAAAGCGCAGGTTCTTTTGTTCAGTACTCCGAGACAAGAGGGCAAAATGTAGGTATTGGGCGTTACTTGAGTTGCTATAGGGTTTGTATTGCTATTTGAGAGCGAATTCCACTTAACCCAGTACTTTGAGTCTTAATAATGCAGAGCATTCATTCCTGGTGCCACAAGCACAGTCAACGTGGTGTCACTGCGCTGTCATACGTGTGCCCGAAGTATGGATGCTAATCACGAAGAGGAAATTCAGCTGCGCCGTAATTCATTCAGCCAATTCGTCGGACGACTGACGAGCACCGGTAATTGCTTTACATAAATCGATTCAAAAGTGGTCTCAAACACGCAACCTGCGATTGTTGCAATAAGCTGGTGCGTTCATAGTGGATGGTGGGTGGTTTTAACCCGCGCACCGACGGGGGTCTGCGCCAACTTCGCACCGACGGGGGGGGCGGATGACCGCCCCCCCCCCCTGAGATCTCGAGAACGAAGCAAGATAGCGACAAGCGGTAAACGGCATCGGATACGCACGGTCAAGATCTACAATTTTTACTAAGGTCATTTTCAGGTCAGGTCAAAGATGACGTCACAGGGGTCGAAAAAGTCAAAATGGCGGCGCTAGATATGGAGAGAGTTTTTCTCGAATAACTTTCGAATTAGTCAAGATAGGAACAAACTAAGGGCATCATCGTGATCCTCTCGTCAATCCGCATCGAATGATATATATGTTGACCTCGAAAGGTCAAGGTCAAAGGTTGACCTCAGGTCACGTGACCTCGAGGTCATCATGTATATCATTCGATGCGTCTTGACGAGCTGAACACAATGAGACCATCCACGCGTCTGTATCTTGTTCCTGTACGGAGTTATTGGCCAAAAACCTTTGGTGACCTTTGATGACGTCACATGACCTCACAGCTGCCCAACAGCAAAACAGACCTCAAGGTAGTGAAGGTTGATCGTATATGAAGTCATGTATGGTATATGGGGCCATTCCGACCCGTTTTAGTGGTAAAAACAGGGAGTTGATTTTTCCCCCATTGACTTATAATGGGGAGGTCGCGAAATTGACCTGACCTTAGGTCACCGATATCAAAATTCCGAGATATACAAATTGTAGCTACTAATGACCTAATAATATCCTGCGACTTTCAAAGGCCTCCGACATCTACTGTACCTCTGGCACGGTGACAAAGTTGCAAAAAAGTGACTTGAGGTTGGGTCATTCAAAGTGACCTGGTGACCTGACCTTAAAAGGTAGGAGGTTCAAACTTGCACATCATGTGTAAAATTGATGAAGGTATAGTCATACCAAATTTCGCGGCGCTACGCGCCGCGGTTTTCCCGCTATTCGCGAAAAACCTCAGGGGGGGCGGATATCCGCCCCCCCCCCGTCGGTGCGCGGGTTAAGGTCTCACGATTTACGCGTAACCCGAACAAGATCTGCAATAAAAATTGTTTCAAGACGCATACCGAAATCACCACTCGAAACACTTGACTGGAAACTATAATTTGTAGCGAGATACTTGAGCCGAAGGAACAGCAACAGCATATGCGCAATTCACAACAAACAACAATACCTACATTATACATATGTTATGTTTGCTATGAAACTTGAGTTGAGTACCTGACTCTAGGACGATAAGCTCATTGAATTCGGTTGCGGTCTAAATGCAAAAAATATTTGAAGGTGAAAATATCTCAACAGTAAGCCAATTCGCTGATTCCATGCACATATAACACGACAGCTGAATTTGTCGGAAATACGCCGGCTCACTCCGATGACGTCATATTCCAGAGGAGTGCCGGAACGGTCGGGCGGAGTCGGATCGGTGCGCAGATGCGATTGTCGGCGCCATGTTTGTAGTTATCCTGCGGCCGTGCATGCGCCGCGCCGCCACACTTGAGCTATGCGTCCAATGCAACATCGTGCCTGGAATGCTGCTGCTGGCTGTTAGGGAGGATTTCGTGACGTCATCCTCTGGGGAAAAAAGTCACAAAAATGAAAGAAGTGTGTGCAGATGCCGCTGGTAATCAGTTTTCATGGCTAACGAAACTTTTGCCGTTAAATAATGGCGGCCCTTTTCAAGTTTCATGCATCGTTACATAATTTACACATTTCGGATATCAAGAATTAAACAAAAGCGTCCTGAAGAACACCTGGCTTACCTTTTGCTCTTTTAGCTTGGTTCACTTTATGCTTAGCGTAACTTAACCCGCGCCCCAGTGGCGGTCTCAGCCAACTTCGCCCTAGTGAGGGGGGGCATATGTTACCACCCACCTCTAACTCAAAAACTAAGAGGGCTAGAAAGACGCGGTAAAAAGCCGTCGATAGCTCTCAATGCGTACGTTTGAAAGTATTTCGGTCATTTTTCATCTTGGAGCAATATTGGGGTCACTGGAGGTCATCAAAGGTCAAAATTTGCCAAATGTCATTATCTTTTTCAGAAAACATGATTATATCTCAGGAACTATGATAGCTAGAAAAACGCATTGAAAAGCAATCGATACCTTTCGAACTCTTCTTTCGATAAGGTCTTCATCAAAATTGACCTCAGGTCAACGGTTTAGCCTCCAGAGGGCAAAAACTCCAAAAATAGCTGTTTTTCGCA